TAACAATGCTATTTAAAAAGTTAAAACTTCAAACTCTAATGGTGAAGCAAAGATTCTTCATTATCAATTGTATTTACTACTTATATGATCTAAAATAACATTATGGCAAAAATCTACGTTTAACTGGTGACAGTCTCCTGGGTGATACGTTGTGGTGTATAAGATTTCCTCTCTCTCTCTCTCTCTCTCTCTCTCTCTCTCTCTCTCTCTCAGTTAACTAACAACTATTTAAGTTAACTATTGCTTAACTATTTACGTTAACTAAGTATATGATCCAATGAGGACATTTTCATGATGGGACAGATATGACAATACCTGAATGGATGCATTCGACCAGGAAAAGCACTGTAGGCAATACATAAGGGTTTAGAATCCATATGATAGCGAGCTAAAAGACTAAGAAATGCTTATCTATAAACAAAGAAATCAACAGTGTTTATGCAGTGTTTTCATATAGGTGGAGAGAATGTACAAACGTACATTGGCTCTGGAGATCAGGTCTAGAAATAAAGTGTAGACTGGATATTTCAGGAAAGCAGATCTATCTTTCTGAACGTATTTGTAAATGAAAATGGATGGATGGATGTATTATGCACAGGGTAGTCAGGGCTTTTCAGTGAATGAAAAGCACAGAGAGGTATCTGGTGAACAATCATGAACCAGCAGTGGGAAGCCATGTCCGAGGGACAGAGTCTGAAACCTCATCTTCTAAGTAATTGTGGTATTGACTACAGTGTTTGTTAAAGAGTCGTACTTGATGGGGTCTTCAGGTTGTTATTACTCACAATATTATGGTATTTGTAGAGACTCAGGTCTGCTGGTGGAAGAATGAGTGAAGATAAAGGACTCCATCCTCTGATGGAGGAGAAGAGTGAGTTTAGTTCTTTAGCAGTACTTTTATATACTCAAAACTACAGTTACAAGCTTGGTGCTTGTGCCAGAATACATGAAAGAAAGCTTCACAAAGAACAAAACACATTCTACAGGTCTACATTTAAAGTTAATCAGTAGGCTACAAAGAATATATTAGAGTCCTATGCTATCTACAGATTTTAACAATTTCCAGGAAGGCTAATCAGCCGGTGATTATGTTCACTATTTAAACATCCTGCGTTTTGCAGTACCATGACTTAGCCTTATGATGGTTTTCTCTGATCTAGGACTAAGGCGGTGTTCTGCTGAGCCCAACATTCTTGTTTGCAAGAAATGTCTGGACATCATCCCTGACCTCTTCCTTGCTGTTGTCCTTCAGGTTTCAGAATTTAATGCATGAACATTTTGAAAATTGTAGAATAGGGTATTCTTCCCCCAAAGCCAGCATTTAGGGAGAAGTGGTCCATGTTTCCAACATCGTGATCTGTATAGGACAGTGAGGGCCACTCGGGTAATGCTTTACCTGATGCTAGAGGTGTAATTTGTCCTAAATGTTCTCCATCCAGAACGAGAATGAGTATCAGGGCACTAACCTCAGTGACCCAGATATTTCCCAGTTGGGGGGAGAAAAGAGAATTGTTTGGCATTGTCAAATGGTCTCTGAAGAACGAACTAGGAGGGCACTTTGGGAGTTGAATCTTTAATAAATAAGCCTGCATGAGGACTCTGAATATTCACCGAGGACATGACACCAAACGGCTACTCAGATAATATTCAGAAATCACAAAGAGAAAACTATCTCAGGTAAGGAAGTCAAGGGATTCAAGTACAGTGAATAAAATCAAGTCACCTACTCTTGCACAATCTCTTGAGTAAAAATTGAAAATTTAAAAATATCTTTTAGTTAAATGAGAACTTCAAGAAATAACATGTTATTTTCAAAGCTAAATATGGACAGTATAGTAACAGTGTTAGTTGAGAACAAAAGCTTAATATTTCAGTCAGAGAACCTAAGTTTGAATTTCTCTGTACCACATAGTATTCAACCTTAGGCAAATGGCAAGCCTCATCTAAAGGTTAATTTCCTTTCCTAGAGAATGCAAGTACTGTATTGTCTTTGCCTTCTTGTTTCCATTCACTTTTTACCTCACAATGTATACTATTAATATTGTCAAGTTCACCAAAGACATACCTGTCAAAAACAATGCACACTTTAAATTCTACCGTATTTGAAAATCCTGGTATTTTTTCACAGTGAGCCATGGTGCCATTTACTGCTATGAACTTTCTTTTCTGCTTAAAAAAACAAATGTGGATGACCTATGCTCTCTTACCACTTATTTCTTTGCAATTTTTCAGAATAATCCTTTTTTTCATCATAAAGTGAAATGTTTTCCAATGTTCCCAGTTTTTCTTTCCAGATTTCTCTCCTATCTTAATTAGCACGTGGAATAAGATTTAAGCTACTGCTTAAAAGCTGAGGTTTCAGATTGCTGTCCCTAGCCCATGGTTTCCCATTGCTAGTGGAGGTATGCACACTCACACATCTCCTCCAAATGAGCAGTTTCTTGGGGAATTGGCTGATGTTAAAGGAATCAGAAGTTACCGACCCCACAAAATGTCCACAGATTCTTTGGAACTAGACAGAAGGTTTTCCCCTTTCCTTAATGTAACTCGAGTGTGCTTTTAGTCATCTATTTTTAATTTTCTTCAACTTTGCTTCTTCTAATTATGTGGTTATTAAATAAATAATTAAATTTTTTTTACGTATTTTGTACATTTCATACAACAGTTCTCATTCAAATTTAGACCCCCCTCTGTCCATGCCTCCCCCCACCACTGGACCTCATGTATTCTGCCATACATGCTAAGTCCTATCCAGTCAAGCATTTGTATACACCCAGATGTCCTTCAGTTCTTTTTTTGTGCTGGTTTCTGGAGCAGTTCCACAGATTTGAGTAAGCACAAGTTTAAAAAACTCCGAATGATAGATTTGTGTTACTCTGAAAATCTGTTGACTTAGGGCTTACTGATTTCTTAGAATCAGGCCAAAGACAGCCTCCAGAAAGGGGTGAGGGGAGAGTTAGTGCCAACCTTCCCTCCATTCCTGAGGAGACTTGTTATGACATTATCATGAAATTCACCTACAGGTACAAATCAACTGAAAACTCTCTAAGCTGCTTCTTGCCACTTATTCTGACACTGTCAGATATGCCACAATTAAATTTTAGTGTAGTCCTAGTAAGGATCAATTATATTGAATAGACTATTCTTCTACTGAAGTCAATATAATATGTATTAATAAATTAAAATTATTCCAAAAGGAGTTACCATTTAGTTTTAATACTGAAATCCTCATTAGTACAAAGTAAAAAAATTCATAGAGTTGGCTTTGAAAGTGACATTATAATTTGAGCACGTTGGATCTTGTATCTCTGGTCTACTTTGAGGATTGCAGGCAGTCCAGATGAGTGGTTTACCTGTATGCTGTACAACAGACTGTGGCGTCTGTGCCTTCTCTGTCTCTCTTCTCTACTTGCTTTATTATATGGTAATGTGGGAGGTGAAGGGTTGGGATGTCAAGGGTTTTGGTTTGTGATGATACACATATCACTTGTGGACTATAGTAGATGTGCTGCCAAGTCAAATCCCAAACAGGACAGTCCCTGTCCAGTGGACCATGTCACTGCACACCTTTCAGTACCCACATCAAAAGAGTAGCTACTAATCCAGTTTCCAGACTGCCCATTTATTCATAGCCAGTGTCCTCTGGAAGTGCTGCTTCCAGAACTCCTTTACCTTTCTTGTGTCCATTTTGTCACTCATGGGTCATTTTTGGAGAGAGTACAATGTATCAAAGCCCTCAAGCATACATTTATTATTTGATTTTATAGAAAAGCTATAAAGATGGCTGCCACTCTAATCTTCCAGGGTTTTTCTTCAAAGTACTGTGAATACTATGTTAAAAGATTCTAGAGATGCACACACACACACACATACACAATTGAATTGAATTTCCAAGGAACACACTTCCCTAGTCATTGTTTGTAATTACTACGATAAATCTGGTTAAAAATTTATTGGTATCATGCAAACAAAAGTGACATTGATTTAATAAGTATGAGTTACAAATAAGTCATAATTGAGATCCTTATGAAATCCATTCTTCATTTTTAATGGAGAATTTGTATAGAATTTTAATGATTGTGGCATTTATGATTATCCCCTATAGCAATATAGTCACCATTTCTCTTTGTAGACCTTAACTTTTCCACCCATCTCTTGCTGTATGAAGTTTGTGCAGTCAGTTGTTGATTTATGACCATTACTATTTCCCTTCACATAAATATTTCTGAAAAATAAATTGATAACTGTCTATAAGTCTTATTGGATGACTCCACCTTTCCTGATTTTTTCCTCCACAAGTTCTCAATGTACATCTCTTTTTCCATTTTAAACTTTGTCTCCAGTGATGGAGGCCTCAGCTTTTTTGCAGGAATGAAAATTTGCTGAGCCCTAAATTCGTGAAATAATCCCAGGCTTCTGAAGTCTGTTCTCTGACTCCATCTACTTTCTCAGTTTTCTCTAAAGACTCAGGGTTTCTCTTCTTATCCATAGAACACTTGTTGTGGCAACATTGGAGCAATAACTCAACCATTTCACGTGCTGGACTTATTTATGTTGATTAAGTATTTTGTGGGTAGTTTTTGAGATATTTATTGGTTTCAAGAAAAAAACAGAAACTGAACTGGGTAGAAATACAGTAAAATGATACATGAGAAATAATTTGAGGAGTGATAAAATAGCGGGATTGAGAAATGGACCCAAAGGGGCACAGTTGATAATGCATCAAGCTTAGAACTATGTCATGATATGCAGGAATGAAAATTAAATGGTACTTAGTAAGCTATGTTCTCTACTGATTGCTATTGTTATTGCTACTGAAGGTCAAGGCCTGATGAAAAAAAAGGCTTGTAACTGAGTAAGTCTGACACAGCACATGAAACTTTGGCAGTCTGGAGATGAATGTACTACTGATGATGCGCTACAAGGAGGTGGTGGTAAGGAGAATAATACTTAAGTGGTCTTAGACGCTCAAACGCTCTTCTTCCGCTGCAAACCCCACGATGTGGTCCAACAACAGTGCTGCTCCTTTCTTGCTGACTGGCTTCCTGGGCTCAGAGGCAATTCACCACTGGATCTCCATCCCTTTTGTTGTCATTTACTTCTCCATCCTTTTAGGGAATGGCACACTTCTCTTCCTCATTTGGAATGACCACAGCCTTCACGAGCCCATGTATTACTTCCTGGCTGTGCTAGCAGGTACGGACCTTGGGATGACGCTAACCACCATGCCGACAGTGCTGAGTGTCCTGGTGCTGGACCACAGGGAGATTGCACATGGTGCCTGTTTCACTCAGTCCTACTTCATCCACTCACTGGCCATCGTAGAATCAGGAGTCTTGCTTGCCATGGCCTATGACCGTTTCATTGCCATCCGCACCCCTTTGAGGTATAACTCCATTCTTACTAATTCTAGAGTGATGAAGGTAGCGCTGGGCGTAGTGATGAGGGGCTTTGTGTCCATTGTGCCCCCGATCCTGCCTCTCTTTTGGTTCCCATATTGCCGTTCCCATGTTCTTTCCCACGCCTTCTGCCTCCATCAAGACGTCATGAAACTTGCCTGTGCTGACATCACCTTCAACCGCCTGTACCCAGTTGTTCTGGTTGCCTTAACTTTCTTCCTAGATGCTCTGATCATTGTCTTCTCCTATGTCCTCATTCTGAAGACAGTTACGGGCATCGCCTCTGGAGAGGAGCGAGCTAAGGCCCTCAACACGTGTGTCTCCCACATTAGTTGTGTCCTGGTGTTCTACATCACTGTGATCGGTCTGACCTTCATCCACAGGTTTGGGAAACACGCTCCACATGTGGTGCATATCACCATGAGCTACATCTACTTTCTCTTTCCTCCATTCATGAACCCCATCATTTATAGCATCAAGACCAAGCAGATTCAGAGAAGCATTGTTCGCCTATTGTCTGTGCACAGCAGGGCTTGAATCATAAACTTTTGAATTTATCATAATTTGGGGGTCTTCATTAGAAACAAATATTATTTCAAATAATGATTTAATGATTTCTTTAGAATGAGGCCAAATTTCCATTATTGCATACAGGAGCTGAATTGAGCAGGGGAATCTCTCTCTCTCTCTCTCTCTCTCTGAAACAAATCCAGGAAGTAATGAGCAGATGCATTCTTTTTCCTGCATTCAAAAGAAGAATGATCAATTTTTTTCAGAAATGCCAAGTGGATAGACATAGTCTTGTGAAAGTACAGTTCATTTACATAAAGATGTGCAGTTAGAGAGCTATTTTATTTCTTATAAAAATACATTAGAATAACATATCATCTTTCTATCTATGCATTTTAAGCCTAAGTGTATTGGTTATGATATTTGTCTACCACTAGGAGAGGATTTTGAATGAATTTAACATAAAAATGATAAAAGTTTTTAAAAAGCTTAATACAGAGTAAGTATAGACTTCTAAGAATCTTTCTCCCGAAGTTTCAATTTCCTTTCCAGGTTAGTGTATTTCATGACTAAAAGGAAAATGACACAAGTATCATCTCAACAGCAGTCAATAAATTTCCCACTGGTACTGGAAATCAGAATCAGGAAACATCCACCCTCCTCCTGCTGCTGCTGAGCAACGCTTTGCAGTTTATTCTTTATAGTTTCTGCTTTACCTCTTGATATTTGTCTTCTGAAAAGGCTGAGTACTAATTGTTTCCTTTTTCTCATACTTGTTTCTCACACACTAGAATTCAGAACTGTATTTCATGAAAATCTGCAGAAAATCTGGCAAAAATTAATGTCCTTTCTTAGGCAGTTTTCACTTCTTTGAAGTGTTTGTATTGTGAACCCTAGTTTTCTACCTACCCTTAATGTTAAGGGCAAAGGCAGCTTTATGACAGAAGTTGGAGACAGTCTCCTTAGAAGAGGAACTCTGAGCTGTGCTCGGTGTTCTTGGAGGACTGCTGTTTCTACCTCAGGGCTTCTAGTTAGACTTCCTTCTAATGTCTTGTCTTCTGACTGAACGCTTACACACAAAACTGAAAAAAGAATCACTCCATTCTAGGTTTTCTTTGACTTACTAAAAATATTTCAATACTGTTCTATCTAGGTAAATGAGAACTATAAAATTTTCAGTGATTTAATAAAAAAACACTTGTCTAAAACTAAAAACTAAATATGAGGATCTTCTCTAAATTAGGTATGCTATGTAAATGCAGGGCAACTCAAAACTAATAAATGCCTACGGAAGTATTCAGTCATGGTGAGTGTTCTTTGAGAGTTTAAAAAAATATTTCATTTATTATTTTTATTTCATCTGTATGAGTGTATTGCCTGCATCTATGCAAGTGCATCCGTGTTATGCAATGCCTGTGGCGGTCAGAAGAGGGCGTCAGGTCCACTGGAACTGGAGTTAGGATGATTGTTAGCCATCATGTGGGTTGTTCCACTTTGTTCCTTGAGACTTGGGTATATAGGCTCCATTGTAAATGTGTCACTTAGTGTTTGACCAGTTGTGGAGCTCTGTAATAGTCTCCGTCTATTGCAAAAGAAGCTTCTTTGATGAGTAGTGACTGGCATTCTTGTCTGTAAATATAAAGAGCCATATTTAGCACATAATAAGAAATTACACTTGTCTAGGGATGTGACAACCTTAGGGATTTCTCTAAGATCTATGACCTCTCCAGATATGTGTATTTGGCTATGTTTCTACTACCACATTAAGAGACCATCCCATTGAGTAGGCTTTAAGTCCAATTAGGTAGCTATTGATTGCCCTCAAGATAAAAGTAGTACTATTTCCCCCAATGTAGTTTGCTGTGTCAGTTATGGTTATTAGGCCTTAAAGCTGGAGATGGACCACTGATGGTCTCCCTCAGCAGCTTGCATGATGTCCTCCTAAACTATGAGAGCTAACCTTCAGGGAGGTGATTTCCAGGTCAGTTCCAGCTCCATTGCTCCAAGTCCTATGTCTGAAGTATGTCTTCGGCAACAGGGTTTTACTTTCAAGTTCTTGGAGGCAATCAAGGACTGTGGCAATAGCCTGTGTGATTTTGGGAATCTCTTGGACTAGACTGGCCAACAACTCAAAGGGACGTTTCTTCTGCCTGGCACTCTTTCTTCTTATAGAGCCTTCAGCTACACTTATGGACTCATGCAAAGATATTGTATGTGTAATTTTTCAGTAGGCTTTTGAACTGATACATTTCTTTCTGGTTTTTCACACTAGCTAAACATTATTTATCCTTTTTAATATTGTTGATAGTAGCACACACACAATGCTAAGGCCTGCAACAGATTCCACTATTTTCTGCCACTGTAAGTCCTTATCTTTTAAAGAATGCAATAAACCACAAAAATTATACTATATATATATACATATATATATAAACTTTGAGATTCTCTTAGCATAGTACTTTTAGGATTTATCATATTAGCTAAGTTTACTAATTGCTTATTTTTGCTTAATTAACCAGTAATTCATACATGAATGTAACTCCTTTTCTGTCATTTCCTAATTGTTTCCCTGAGACCTTTCTCTTGCCCAGAGCTGCTCCATATGCACATTTTTAATGCAAGATCTTTCTTTCTGGCTTTCTTACTCATGTACTTTATAGAAACCACTCAGGTCTTGGCAGACTTATGTCATCTTTATCATTCTTCATTCTTTAGTCTCTGTGTCATGAATATAGTCTTCTGACACCGCCCCTCTACCCAAAGTGCTCCTTTTATTGGCCTTCTGAAAGAGATTCTTGCATTTACTGGTCTTTGCTCCTTTAATAGTCCACCTTGGTTTCTCTGCATCAGCATCAAATGTTATCTTTGCTAAACAGCTGGATCCAAACGCACTGTTGAAACAGGAACAGGAAATGACACTTGAAAAATGAATTGGAGTTGGGCTTAGCATGGGCACTAACATGCTGTATTTAACATTCAGCTCTACAGAGAGAGGAGATATACACAGATGTTTTAAAGGTAAAACCAAATGTAGATTATATCCTCATGAATTCAGGACATAATAAAAGAGAAAGTTATTTTCAGGCATTATTGTTGCCAATTATTATTCTATCAGCTTATCAAGTTTATATTATCACAAGAATGCTCCAGGCTTCTTTTCATTATTATTAAAAGATTGACATGTATGTGGGTTACTTAACTAGTTTCAGTATTTGACCCCCTCCCAGAAAAAAATCATACAGTGCGAAACCTAAGTAGAATTATCCATATGATATGAAGCAAGCTTCTTTTTTTCTTGAGGTAGGTGGGTTGAAATTGATAGAATCTTTGGTCTATGCCTTGCACTTTAAATGGGTCTTTATATATTTTCTTGGCTCTACAATAAAATAGAGGGCTGCTAGAGTGCTGGTGTACACTAGAGCTGCTGGGAGCGGCTGAAGGAATGAGAGGGTTTTTTTAAAAAAAAAACCTTTTTATTTATTATTTTTATTTTATGCATATGAGTGAATTGCTTGCACAGAGGTAGGTGCACCCATATCATGCAATGCCCTTGGAGGTCAGAAGAGGGCATTGGATCCCCTGGAACTGGTTTTGCCGATGGTTGTTAGCTACCATGTGGGTGCTGGGAATTGAACCCAGGTCTTCTGCAAGATCAGCCAGTGCTCTTAACTGTGAGCCATCTCTCCAGCCCCGGGATTGAGAGATTTGGCCTGATCTAGGCTACATAGTGAGCTTGGAGCCAGCATGGGCTACATAGAGAGTCCTTATCTCAAAACGAAAATGAAACATAGATTTTTCCAGGCATTAAAATCCAAGAGCATATGAGGGTAGATGGCCCTTACAGAAAAGAGAAAATGTGGGCAAGGCTATTTTTTTCTCCTATTGTATATTTTTATTGAATTTTTTGTGGATTTCACATTATACATCTTAATCATATTTAGATACCCTTCCCTGTCCACACCCCCGTATAGTCCTCCCACAGGATTTCATGCATTCTGTTATATATGTTAAGGTCAAGCTTGTGTGCCCAAATGTTCCTCAGTGTGAGTTCATTCACTAGAGCCTGTTCACCCCTTAAGATCAACTCTCCCTCATTCAGAAGTGATCAGCTGCCAATAGTTCCTCAGCTAAGGTTGTGGCCTTCTGCTTATTCCTCCAGTTCTATGCTGGTTTTTGGGTGATTGAGGTTGTATGGGTCTTGTGCATGCTGTCACCACTGCTTGAGTAGCATGAGCAAGTTCCCAGAATCCTGGAAGACTCTGTTTCCTTATGAGCATGCACCACCCCATAGGATCTGGTTTTTGATGCCTGTCTAGCCTATTGGTTTAACATGCATGTAAAGGAGAAATATTTGCTTCACATCCACCCCTGAGTCAGCAAACATAGCTTCCCATGCTCCGATTTGCCTTGGGTCTTCTGCTTGGTACTGCTTGGTATTCCTTGGATATCACAGGTATTTTCTCTTCAAATGCCATTTGTGTCCTGATATTTTCCAGAGGAAACTAGCTTTTTCTTACCTTTTCAGATAGTCATATTTAATCCTTGACAAAATCAACTTACTCCATTGCTCCCACTGCTAACTTTCATGCCTTTGTTCCAAATCCCACATCAGGATAATTCAAAGATAGTTATGATAATCTCAATGCTGCTGAGAATATTCAAGCTGCAGCTTCAACTTAGGTTTCATCAGTGGACAAATGGACACAGAGTGTGGTGTGTGTGTGTGTGTATAATGGTATATCATCCTGTTATAAAATGGCGAAATTCCTGTCATCTATGTAAAACATGAATGGATTGGAGAATACATGTTAAGTTAAATAAATCATGCATAGAAAGAAAAATGACTTACCTCTTCACTTATATGTGAAGCAACATGATGTCATGGAAATAGAGAGCATATGGTATTTACCAGAGATTGGAAGTGAGATGGTGAAATTGATTGAGAAAAGATACAAGCAAGTACAGAGGTACCTTGGCATCAGAGGGACAAGTTGTGTTCTATAACATACTAGTAGTTAACTATGATT